CCAACCAGTCTGGTGACATCATCCCTTCACACTTCTTTTGAAGAATATTTTTCATTACTGCCAGTCACTTTCACGTTTTGAGATGATGGGAGCTAGTCAGACTTAGCTCTGTTATTTTGAACTCTTTATAATTCTTTTGCCTTCCATGTACCTTGTGTGGTCCTGCTACTGAAGACTTTCAGGAAACAGAATGTTGCTGCTTGTGTTGCAAATTACCCCAAGGCATGCTTGTCTCCTTCCAGCAGTCTGGCTGGTACTGCCCGTATAAACTATAAACTAGCATTCAGCTCTCCTGCCTATGTCCTCCTTTCACCATGCACTGTAAACATGCTACTGATAACTTTTTCCATACTAACTTTTTCAACTGCAATGCTTGCCTGTATCTAGAATTTTTTTCAACAGTGCCATTACCAGAATCTTTACTTACTTCACTATTACTCCGAAGTCAAGAAAGAACCTAATAAAAATATATTACCAACTTGACTGTTTTTTTGTACGAATGGGATATTTTAATTGTTTTTGTCTTTTTTAATAAACAGGTATTGCAGTATTGGTTTGGATTTGCATTTCTGCAGTTCTATATCTGTGTGCAAACAGAACTGTTAGCTAGCTCTGGTACTTACAGTTAATCTGCATCAGTTCTGGCATCAGGTTCAGACACTTTTTTGTGTTCCTATTTAAGATTGCAAAGGTATGTGAAAAACCTTGTCTTTGTCAGAGAAGTATCACACTAATGAATAATTTTTTTTTTGTTTGCTTTTGGTTTTTTTTTTTTAATATGCACCCATCATATAAGTTTTTTTGTGGTTGCGATTGCTTGTGTTGTTGAGGTTATTCTGGTGTGCACGTGGCCCAGTGCAGTACCATGTGGAGACAGTAATTGGATCGTAAGCAGTATAGTTGTGTCAGCTGGGCACTATGATAGACTTGTGGTAATAAACCTTGCCTCTTTAAGATGTTTGCGCACAGCACTATACTGTCATATGACAAGGTTGCTTCCGGCTTTAGAGGTAGCTGTGCTGCTTGTTCCTGGATATTTGTACCGTGATCCACTCTGTGGTGTAGACATAAATGCACACTGAGCAGGGTGATGTTATGAGATTCTTTGTGTTAAGTTTCTTGATGTAGCAGAGCAGCAGTGGCCTAATCTTTTTTTTTTTTAAATATGTTTTCAGAGACCTTACGTTACAGCTCCAAATTTGTTGTTTCACATAACTGCCTGCCTTCATGCTTATGAGCACTTAGAGTAATTTTTATGACAAACTTGTTTGGTATCTTTCAATGGCTGAAATAATCTATAGTTTATGCCAGTGTGATAGTATTTCTAGTATCTTGAACTGTTGTATGATCAAATAAATGTTCTTTCTTTGGAATCAAAGGGAGTACCACTGCGGAGTCTAACCACATTAAATAACTTTCCCTGTAGAGTATGCCTTACTTCATTTTTTGTGTATCAAATCTTGAATGTTTTCTGGTGTTTGTGGTGAACTAACAAGTATGTGTGGTGGGTCTCTTACCTGTCCAATTATTTCGAAGATGAATTATCTAACTACCTAAAAAATCTTTTAGAATTTAAAGGTTCTTCAAAGTAGTGTAGCAAAGTGTCCTTTAAATGCACTTTCATTTATCCACACATAAATGAGTAGAATGGCAAATAATGTTTTTGGGGTGTGTTGTATTTTCTAGGTTATCTGCTGGATCCTAATGGAGAAAAATGTGTAACCGCACCTCGTCAAGTTTCTGCTCTACACCATAAAGATATCACTGTGTCCTTGGTCTCTGCAAGCGATGGCGCTACAGTATGCGTTACTGAACGAGGAGATATTTATTTACTTGCAGACTATCAGTGCAAAAAGATGGCTTCAAAGTATGTATCACTTTTCTAAGTTGTCATGAAGAACACCAGGTGAAAATTTCACTGCAGTCTTACACTTTCAATCTATTTTAAAGATTTTTGTGCATACGGATAATACAGTGCTCCCTGGCGTTTTCTTCATTTGCAGTTCTTTCATATGAACTATGGATATCTTTTTAGTTAGTTTGTTTATTTGCTTTCGTTATAAGAAGAGGCTAAGGTGCCACTTGCAGTTTACCAAAGATATTTAAAAAAACATACTAAGGGGAAATGCTTTGTGCCATAGGTTTAAAAATACCAAAACTGGTATTTTTTGTTCATCTGTTAGCCTGAATTTGTCTAAATGCATCTCAGTAGAGGTGTTGAAGATCTGCTCTTCTATTTAGTTATGTTATTACAATTTTGAATCAGTAATTTGGGGTCTGATGCAAAGGGGACCTTGTGACGTCATCTGGTCCATATACTAAAACCTGGATGTAAAACCTGTTGAAGAAACTGGGCCCATGACTCATAAATTTAGGAAATGATTTGATCCTATTCTCTCTTAGTTAGTTTGCAGTAACAGATTAGAAGGGGTATTTAGCATTTTTGCCCAGCAAACTCCCAGTTAGCTTTTCAGCTTCACTTCAATTTCTAGCAGTGTTTATTGACATGTTATAGCTTAATGATTATTTTATACTTCATTTTCTACACGGTTATAAGTGAATGTGCTGGCACTTGGAGAAGCTTAATACCATTTCATTATGCTAAGAAACTGAAAAGAGATAACTTGCATGGTTTTGATCAGGTAAAAAACAAAACCCACAAAAAAACCTGAGAAACAGCCTATGGAGATAGGATAGGTCTTTTAATACAAACAGCTAAATGAAATTTATACAACTATAATTTTTGTAATGCTGAAGATCAAAGGTAAATAATATACTGGTTTTCAATTACGGAATTCTGTGAAGAACCTATGGATATGATGTGACTTACTTAAAAGCAAAGCAAAAATTACAATCTAATAATAGTATTTTATTAGCAGTTATGTTTGCAATACCAGTGGAGAGAGACTAAACTGAAGTAATTTTCAGTGTCACTACCTCAACTATATTTTTTTTTTTTTTACTGCTTCTTGAAATGAAAAAGGTAACTCTGTCATAGAAGCAACATCAATACACAATGAAGAAATACTAATTTAACCTTTTGTGTTCTTTCAGACAGCTGAACCTTAAAAAAGTTCTTGTTAATGGGGGATATTTGGAATATAAGGTAGATACCCAGCATCTTAAAGAAAATGGGGGTCAGAAGATTTGCATTCTAGTGCTGGATGAAGCTGGAAGAGTAAGTTGTGTGCCTAGAAATCATGATTTATTTAGAAATATATAGCAGGCTGCATACTGATAAAGCAAACTTTAAACATAAGAAGTTGACAGGTCAAAGTCATGCACAGAAAATACCCAACTCATTTGTGTAGAGCTGCTAGTGTTGTTTTGGTTGGATTTTTTTGTTTTGTTTTTTTTTTTTTTTTTTTTGTGGGCGGGTTTTTTTTTTTTTTTTTTAAAGGCTATGGGAAGACTACCACAGTAATACACAGTAGTTTATTTTTAAATCTGTGAACATCTAATGGCTTTTCAGTGAAGGTGTAAATTCCTTTACTTTTACATACATAAGTGGTTATATAGCGTGCATGGTTTAGTTTTTTTTCCCATCTCTCCTCTCACCCCACCTACCCAGTCACCTTTACACCCTCCAGAAATAGTGTCAGAAGTAGTCTCCGGACTTGAAGTTTTAGAGCCTTTGCTGAAAAGCAGCTGTTCTGTAGATGAGATGTCCCTTTTATTGTTGAAAAGTTGCAGCTAAACCTGGTGAGTGGCTTAGTATTTATAGTTAAGTGTAGACACCTTGTTGTCTTAGAACTGGAATACTATGGTGGATTTACTATTTTCTTCCCTCATTCTGTCATAGAGTAACAGTTTATAGGACCCTTCAAAACCGCAGCCTTTTCTACATCTGCTCCCTGGGTGATCTTAACCTTCAGTGCCATCTAGTGGTGTTTACAAAAAGGTTTTGTTACTGAAGTGCTGCCTTCTTAAAGAATGTTAAAAACTGAGCTTGTATATCAAAGTAGGGAGCAGCGTGGGTATTTCCTTTTCTTTCCTTGCATTTGACTGAATTATGTTTTAGGCTGATATTATCTGTTTATTAGGTCGTTAGTTGTCTCGGAGATCATAATCTTCCAGTTCAGTATTTGTTCTTGTGAGGTTTAGCCTCTAGCATGCGTAGGATTGCTAGTGTCCCTTCAAAATCTTTGGGACATTGCTGTAGCAGTAAGAAACTGCTTTGTTTTCCTGCATCAGTGGAACTATGTCAACCTACATTTCATATCTTTCCATGCTGAATACTGACAAATGCTGGGATCTTTAGTGCTTTTAGGCATTACTAATTATTGAGTAAGGAGAGGGATGGAATCTTAATACTTCTATTTGCCAAATCAGTGCTTCCTGGTCTGACTTGATTGTACTGTCTTTAAGAGAGTACTGTTTAGCCCAGAAAAGAGAAGGCTCAAGGGGGATCTTATCAATGTATGTGCATACTTGAAGATGTAAAGAATATCGAGCCAGGCTCTTTTTGGTGGTGCCCAGTGACAGAAGCAGAGTTAATGGGCACAAACTGAAACAAAGGAGGCTGTGTGTGAATATCAGGAAGCACTTTTTTACTGTGAGGGTGATTGAGCACTGGCACAGGTTGTCCATGGAGATTATGGAATCTCCATCCTTGGAGATATTCAAAAGCTGTCTGGACATGGTCCTGGGCAGCTGGCTCTCAGTGGCCCTGCTTGAGCAGGGGGGTTGGACTAGATGATCTGCAGAAGTCCCTTCCAACCTCAACCATTCTGTGATTCGGTAGGACTCAAGAGAGGGGACAGGAAATAGGTTACTCAAATTCTTTTGTCCTCTGCTTATGCAGGTGTTAACAGACCTGTGCAGGTCCTTCAGTGGGAGAAGACGCAAGCCCAGCTTTAGCACCACTAATGCCACATCTGGGCTTTACCTTGCATGGGATTGTTGCTTAATGCTCACTTCTTTCAGATATCTACAGTGTATGTTGTTGGGGTCCTGCTCTGCATGCAGTTCTTCACATTTCTGTTGAATGTTTTCAAGTTTGTGTTTGGTCATAATCTCCATTCCAAAACCTTGGCTGGTACAGAAAAAATTGAGATTTTTGTCAAATGATTGGCAGGAAATGGTTTAAATTTTTGGTGTGCTAACTTTGAATTTTATCTGATTTATAAGCAAACCACCTGTTCTTAATTTACAGATTTGTCCTAGATTAAACTTGTTTCTTGACTTGATGACTTTTGCTGTCCTTGTTGAAATGTCAGTAAAAACTGTCCTATAGGTAACTGCTGTGAAGACGTTTGAATATTCAGTGCAGGTTTTCAAATGCCCTTCATAGGCAAATGGATCTTGATGTCATAATAGGTTTTCCCTGGTTTACTTTTGGGTTCTTTGTAATAGATGCTCTCAACACTTTAGGATATAACTTTGAGAACGTCTTTCTCCTTTTCTATGCAACTTCGAGATGGCATGTTTTTGTGTTTAAAAAAAAAAAAAAAAGTGGTGTGTAATATGTAACTGTTGTTAGTTATGTATGTAATATGTAACATAGTATGTACATAGTTAGTATGTAATATGTAACATATGATATGAGGATTTCCCCTTTCTCTGAAAAAAAATATTATAGGTGTTTTGCTGGAAGTCATCTAACAACTCCATGAAGCAATGTCGTTGGGTGTATGGCCGGCAAGTCTTCATGTCTGATGTTGCTTTAAATAGGAATGAAATAATGTTTGTCACACAGGATGGTGAAGCCTTTACAGGGAAGTGGCTGGAAGAAGGGAAAAAAATCTCAGAAAAGAAAGGTTAGCTATGATTTCTTAATTGTTTTTAAGTACTTCAAATCAATATAAAAATTTAATTGAGTCTTTACAGTCTCTTAACAGTATTATGTGCTGAGTTCATTCTTTCCGCTGTGGCTGGTGGTTGGTAGCATTGACCACTACTGTTCTCTTTCCTCAGTAATACCAAGATGTACTTACTTTGCAGCCTTCAGTTAACCTTCAGGTGGAGATTTCCAGGAAGAAGAGTACTTTTGAAGAGTAATAGTAGCAAAAGGGTCCAGTATAATGATCTTGTCACATACTAGATGACCAGTCCTAAGAGACTGGCACTGAACAAAAGAAGAAGCATGTACTTGCTTGCACTGCTAAGTCTGTGAAACCTTAGCATGTTTCCCAGACCCTTATCTGGACATAATACAGGTTCCAGAGCAATTTCTGCCTTATTAACTTCGCTTATATTGCTGAGAGTAGGTCCTTATGGATTTTTCTTTTCTGTGAGGAAGATACCTGCCTACTATAGGGCAAGATTTTAATTGAAGCTGTCAGCTCCTTTCATGTAGGGGTCTTAAAACTCTATGGGTAGAAATGGATTTACTTCCAGCCTGGGGTGTATTTGAACTTTATAGCTTTATGTTGCAGTTCTACTTCCTTTGATACTGAGATTGCATCTTTAGTTGTATCTGTCCATTTTTGCATTCTTGTACAGCAAAAATCTTTCCTCTGTTGCTCAATGCAGAGTTGCATACTAGTTTTACTGTGTTACTACTGTCTTTTATTCTACACATCACATAGTAGTTCCATCATTACATAGCCACCAAATGCATCTACTTTTCACTCTGTTTGTCCCGTTGCTGGTATGTGTCTGTAGGTACTTTCTTCCTTCCGCTTATTGCTGTTCTTTTTGTACTTTTAGTGTCTTCAAGGAAAGATCAGAATCCAGATGTGTTAACTAGTTGAATGTCTAGTTGATGTTCATCACTGATTTGTAATGAATGAGAGCTGCTGGTTTTTTTGAGAGATTTTAATGAATGTGGCAAGTGGTGTGCATGTGTTTGGTTATCCAGTTCTTGAAAAATAATCCAGTATTCAGAGAATATCACATATTTTCAATAGTATTTTGTTAGTTTGCGTAGAATTTAAACAGATATAAAATGAAGTCTGAAGGCAATTGTATTATATCTGCTGTAATTGAAATGGCAGGAAAAGAAAACAATCCTGCACTGCTGTACACTGATGCACAGCTTGTTTCATTCCACAAGAGGTTGCATTGAGTGTTAGATGGACTTTTTTCCCTTACATGAAGAAGTGTCAAAACACTTCCACAAGATGTTCTGGATAAAAACTCTCCTGTCTGTAATGTAAAGTCTTATTCTTAAAATGTCTTCCTGCATTTCAGTTAAGCAAGCTGAATTCAGCATAATTTAGCCTTATTCAGTGACTCCATCAATGGACTTAGAGAAGTCATAAATCTTGCCTTTTTGTTCTATTAGTTGCATTTTAACTAGCTGGACCTTCCTGTGTGTTGTTTTTTTTTTTTTTTTTAAATCTTTTTTCTTTTTTAGCAGAACTTGTATCAAGCCTCCAGAATTCTTCATGTGACGTGTCTTGTGAACATGATACAAACAGTGTGTATGAAAGAATTCGACTTCAGAAGCTTACTTTTGTCCACCGCGCTGTTAGTATTGCCACCGATCCTAGTGGTTGCAATTTTGCTGTTTTGCAGTCGGATCCTAAAACAAGGTATATTTAAGATATCAGCAACTGTAATTTTTCTCTTTTTAGTGTGTGATTGCAATTAAATCATTCTGCTTTTCAAAACCGTTTTTTGGCTCATACAGAAGTCACAGTAAATGTGGTTATCCATACTGCTAGAGAATAGCACTTGAATAAACAACTGTGTTGAAGTTACCCAAAGACTTCAGTTTATATATTTGCATAATTAATATAGATAGCATTGATGTTTTATCTCAAGTGTTTAAGGCAAGTGTTGGTGATGTATTTCTTAACACACTCTGAGCTCTAAATACTGTAAAATTCACCCCTTCATTAATCACCAATCAGTTTTTAAATAAAAGTGAAAAGTGGATCTTTATTTGTTTGAAAAAAATGTTTAAAGTAAAATGAATAAGTAGAATACTGCACCAAGTTCCTTACGCTCTCATAATAATTTCCAATATATCTGATAAATAAGTAAATATTAGCTTTTTTTCCTGATTGCTTTGGATTGTAATATGAAATACAGCACACATTTCTGTGTTTTCTTGTTGAAAAAATGAGATGAAGATAAGATAGTTCTGATAATATGTATTTACTGGCTACATTATAAAGACACAATACTATATTTGATATTCTGAAGCTAGACAGGTCTTACATATGTGGTTTAGTTGCCTAAATACCATATTACTAGTTCTGTTTGTAAAGAATAGGACAAGAAATGTTGAGTAGTCCAGCAATGTAAGGAAAAAACCCAAACAAACAAAATGGAAACAACCTCACCCTCTTCATTAAACATACTATGTAAAAATTTATGGAGCTTGTAAATAGTGGGGTTTTTTTTGATGGATTTCATTTTGTTCTAGTCTCTATGAAATTCCAAGTGTGTCATTATCAAGTTTTGGAGAGGATTTTGGCAAACTGTTAGATGAAACAGATGAAATGGACAGCATCCATGATGTGACTTTTCAGATTGGCACAAGAACTTACCCCGTGCACAAATACATCTTGGCTGTACGCTCTGACTTCTTCAGGAAGCTGTTTGTTCCCAGTGACAACCAGCTAGACTCTCCAGACATCTACCGTAAAGATGAAGATGCTGTTGGATGTGATCTTTATGTAATAGAGAAAGTTCATCCAGATCTGTTTGCATACCTTCTGCAGTTCATATACACTGATACTTGTGATCTTTTGACTCATGGTTATAAACCAAAAATCCTGCATAAAGGAAAATCGGAAGAATATCAAGATACTTTAATTTCTAACCTGAGCAAAATGAGTTTTGATGAAAATGTTAATGGAAAGTCTGCATTTGAGATTTACAGAAATAATCAAGTGCAAGTTATAAATGAAAAACAGAAGAGCAAATCTAAAAAAGGCAAAGTTGTTGGTGAAGAAGCTAACCTCATAAAAATGTTGCAAAGCACTGCAAAGAAGTTTGGACTCAGCAATTTAAGTGGAAGGTAGGTGAAAAGAAATGCATTTATTTTCTGGCAAGCTCTTCACAGAGCGTTTTTACGTAAGCTGATATAACTTTAGTTGTTATTAAAGTAGAAGGATAGTTGGGGTTGATACGTTTGCCTTTTTTTTTTTTTTGGCTTTTTTTTTTTTTTTTAAGTTACGTTTGCCTTTTTTTTTTTTTGGCTTGTTTTATTGTTTGTAAGTATAAAAGTTCATGGCATACGCCACATCATCTCTTTAAAGCAACATCAGTTTGTTCTGATGCTCTTCGCTTAGAGAAAGCATGTATGACCTTTTCAAGTAATGTCAGAAGCAGACTTTTGTAGCATGATTATGTACTTAAAGCATCATTTTTCAATAGGCTTCTATATGATGGTAGTGTGCGGTTGGCCCTTATTGTGTCCTAGAACGTCTTGGACATTTGTATTTAAAACATCTGTCCTGTGTATCTGTTAAGGCATGAGCAATCTGAGGCTTGACATCTGATGCAAATCATCTGGCTTTCCAGAATGACTGTCATAAAATATCAATGCTTGTTTTGTTAGAGACAGCTGATCTAATTGAGTTTTAGATTGATGAATTTCTATGCTGTGGTCTGTAGTCTATCAGTTTTTCCATAGACAGTGAACATATTTAGCATAAAACAACACAAAGCAAAGTTAAATTCTTGTTTAACTGATGCTTTTTAACATTATGTGGTGAAACTAATGGAACTGAGACCAAATGTCTCTGTGGAACTGTATTACTCAGTTGTTTGGGTTTTTTTTCTGCATTTGTCTTTTCCTTTCAAAGGAGGGAATGAGCCTTTTCAGGGCAGTTTTCTTCACTGTATTTTTTGCAAACACTAAAATTAATCAGCAAAGATGTGAAGCTGCTGCAGAAACTGAGTTCCTGAGTAAAATTGCCACATTAAAGCACATTCCCTTTGAAAGTGTATTGTTTTGTAATCCACAAGCAGCATTCCGATGTCTTTACCATTCTGTTCACAAGCCTTCTTGATGAATTAGGGTGCTAAAGAAGCCTGTGCTGAAACGTGCATCTCTTCCAAACCACTGTCTTTGCTCAGATAACTGACTGGTAGCAGTATGTATAACTCCTAGATTTTTGACCCTGTGGTGTTGGACTTTGGCCTTTACTATAGCAGTATAGCTTTCATCTAAGATAATAAATAAGAGAGCTAAGATGTGGAAAGAATGTCAGCTACACTTTGTATCTGCAGTGAAGACTTTCAAGTAACAACTGGCCCTTTCTAGTTTTCTGTGATGAATTATTTTGATCCTTTTTCATATTCACAATATGAGCCCACTGAAGTGCTGTTACTTTGTGAAATCGTTCTTAATGGTTTGGACTGTATACTAATTGTATTACTTATTAGTAATGTTAATGATTTGCAGGTTGGATGGAGTCAGGTTAGAAAATGGAAAAATTAATGTTGTCAACAAGAAGAATGGGAACAAACCAAAGTTAAATCAGAAGAAATGGTAAACTTTTTAAATCAAGCTTCCCCTACCCCCACCATCTTCCTCTTATGTCATCTCTTTAACTGTTAAGTGTAAGCTAAGGTTGATAAGTTGTATTTTAACTTCTAGTGTATACTTGTTTCTTTCACAGTAACTCACGTTTGGAAGTTCTCTGTAGATGCTTATAGAGTGATATATGAATTAGTAATCTGGGATAGATTATGTACAGTATATTTTTGCTTCTTTTTGATGTACATTAATGTGTTCTGTGGATTAACTGTGTCATAGAATACAAATGCCAGGAGAAATGTTGTGGGTAATCCAGTCAAAAGCAGTTTGACTTCAGCAAATATGCTTGCTGTGACAATAAGACGACATGGTTTGGAAATAAACAAATGTATAATATTTTTTCTAATTAAGAAAAATCTCTGGAATATGTTTCAATAGAAAAATTCTTTATGCTTTTATCAAAGTGATGTTTGTTTTTTAATTCCATTGGTGTGATCGAGTAATTTATACCTAAAGGCTTGAATAGTCTACTTAACGTAGTAAAAGCTACATTGCATGAAAGTGTCTTTTTCACATAATTTGGATTACTTCACTCTGAAAATGCATTGTCAAAGTTTATAGCAGCTACTGATGTGAAAGAAATAACTAACTTAACATAGACCATTTAAGATTGACTAAAGTTATCCATAATTAATTTATTTGGTCATAGCAGTTTTAAAACAGTAATTGACTATGTTTTGAAGGAAGTACTTCAGATGGAATTTTGAGAGCTCAACTTTGGACAAAAGAATTCTCTATTGAAACTATTGTGCCTGTACTTTTAGGTTCACTTTATACGATATTATTAAAGTTCAGCTGTATTTTATTTTAAAGGATAAATCCTAACTTGCTAGAGTAAGCATTTATTTGTAGAGTTTACAACTTGTAGCTCTTCTGAGTAGTCACAGTTCTGATCCTATTAAATATCTTCTAGTTCATACCTCTGCGACGTGACCCTGAAATCTTTAGATGGAAAGGAATTCCCATGTCATAAGTGTGTACTTTGTGCAAGACTCGGTATGTGTGTGTATTTTTTCATATATATA